GGTCTGGTATTTTTTGAGCACCAGTTATGATGCATTAGGAACGTTGTCATAGAGCCAAAACCAATTATATTTGCTGTTGAGAATGTCTATTGTGCATTAGACACAATTTGAACAGCAAATACATATGTGTCTTCAGTTCTTCGAGTTCTCACCTGTGGAAGGGCTCCAACGGTATGTCCATTATCTACTTACACACTTGACTTACTTGTCCTGCAAAATGCGTTGGCTGAACGATGGTCATTTGGGTGCGTCGGCGTGTCGCGTCGCAGATTTTTGAATGGCAGTTGATTGTACGCAAGTGTCAGCTTCTGCACCAGACTAACACAGCCAATTGTCTCGTGAATCAGCTCGAGAGCATCCTCAAACGACATTGTAGTTTTAATGGAGAGGCACTGGCTGCCCTCGGATGTGCCTCAGGTACCATCAAGACAACGGCTAATTACGGTCATCCCAGAAAGAAGGTAGATTCAAGACATGGGGACGGTTTCTCCTTTTCAACTCGGTCTATGCTCTCTGCGTCTGAGACGACTGCTTTCTTTGCTAAAGAAGTTGATTAGTGTGGGCTTTGGAACAAAAAGGGTGGAACGACTTACCTCTCGCCGATTTCGCCTTTGACACAGCCTTGCGCTTGGGCTTGGGTCCAGGCTTTTTCTTCGGAGGCTTTTGAATCACCTCTTCAATGTCTGAATCGCTCTGGGTCCTCTGCCGACACCCACGCTTCTCCTTGGCAGGCTCGGGGGCAGAATCACTTTCATCAGAAAGAACACCAGATCCCGATTTGCGCTTCGACCAAGTAGGAGGCAGGGGCATCGAAAAAGGTAGCTCGTCGTCCGAAGGAGTCGCCATTGGCCTTGGTGAGTCGGGGAAATGAAGAGGCTGCTCCGAGTTGGATGAAGATAACACTTTTTAGAGTGGGCTGAAACTTTTGGTGGGCATGGCAATGGCCTTGGCTTTGTCTTCAGCGAGACATTGGCTCTTGCGTTCTCTGGCTGCCGCAAAAGTCCCCGTATTTGCCATACGTGCCACTGACTGCTGACGCGGATCATCACGGCAACCTGATGGTCACTGCGAGTCCGCAACGCGACGCACCGATGCATCCAGATTACCACCCTTCAGCCAATGAATTCTGCAGAACAAGTAAGTGAAATGTCTAAGGAGATAATGGACGTCCCATTGGAGCCCTTCCACAGGTGAGAACTTGAAGAACTGAAGACACATATGTATTTGCTGTTCAAATTGTGTCTAATGCACAATAGACAGTCTTAACAGCAAATATAATTGGTTTTGGCTCTATGACAACGTTCCTAATGCATCATAACTGGTGCTCAAAAAATACCAGACCCATCGGACATGATTTGAGATCCCTAGACAAAAATCTCGTGCGGGAGCATGAAAATTTGGGGTGTTCATGAATGGACAATTATTCCGGATCTAGTTCTATCACTAATTGCGCCTGAATTATTCCGAGAGTTTTAGTTCGGTTTCAAGTCAAACGGAGCAGAATTGAGTGAGCTAGAGACAATTCTTTGCAGAGGAACAAAAACTGCCCAAAATGGAAAGTTTTGATCCGCGCCTTCGGTACTGCCAATAGCTGTAATCTACTCCCCAGTTCCAATTTCCGGCCAAATTACCCTGTTTTGGAAACGGGCATTCCGGTCAGTTTTCGGTCATTTTGCTGTTCAGGACGGTAGTATACCCAAAAGCAAAGTATAGTAAAACACTATAGATACGCGTATTACGGGAGTACATACAAACAAACAGGCTAGTATATGGGTATGTACGACACGCCAACGCAAGGCAGCATAGTGCATCGCTACACGCTGGGTACCAGTGGGAGACAGCAGAGTGGATTGCCTCAAAGCTCGTTCGAATGGAGATGCTGCCCTCCGAAATACAGGAATCGCCTATGTTTTATTTGCTTCAAGTTTTTTTGTCCAGTTCCCACCACCTGACCCCGGGCCTCGCCTTCTGCGGCCGACGGTCAGGGCCCTGTTCAATGGCGTCAGCACCCGCCGGCCGTTTGACCTCGAGCTCATGGTTGAGCTGGAAACAAACCTTTAAAAGTTGATCAGTAGAGCAAGTAAGGCAGCATGGTGTACCACTACCGCACACTGTGTACCATTGAACCATACATTGGTCAATGTCCTTGTTCGAACCGAGGTGCTGCCCTTCTCTCGCTCCGAGAAAATTTTGTTCTGCTTCAAAATCAAATTCTTTTTTCGAATTTTGTCGTGTACCTCAGTGAGCACGGCACTGGCAGTTGCACTTCTCAAATGTTTATTTATTCACACTACAAAGTGCTCCACAAACTCTCCTCGATGGTCGCACAACTCAAGTTTAATCCTCCCGGGCCATCGGACCGCCACAACTCAACCAAGCTTGCCGACGAGTCAGATCATGCTACTGAGTCCTCTGCAGATCTGGCACGGCGGCGGAGGCTGAGCGGACGACAATCGCGGAGGAGACATCGACGAGGATGATGAGCACGACAAGGAAGATATAGATTGGGGAGGAAGGAAGAAAAGAGAACGAGGAATGCAAGGCGCGCGGCAATAAGGGCGGGTGCGGTAGGCAAGATGGAGGTGCGCGATGCGTGTCCACGAGCGAAAGACACAGATATCAAGAAATACAAAAGACTCGAGACGGATAAAAGAGTATCAGATGCGCTGCCAGCGCTGCACTGCGAGGAGGAGGATGAGCGCGGCGAGGAAGGTGTAGACTGTGGTGGGGATGACGTGATGGAAGTGACAAAGGAAGAACAGGAAGGAGCGAGGGCACGAGGCGGGCGGCAATAAGGGCGGGTGCAGTGGGCACGGTGGAGGAGTGCGCGGGGGTGTCCGCGAGCAGGCAAAAATACAAAGAGATCGAAGAATACGAAAAGATCACGATTAGATACGGTTGCCAGCACGAGCACGAGGAACATGGACGCACGGGACAGCTGCGCAGAGGACTGAAGGCCGGCCTGGCCCGCTTGGCCGCCACCGGTCGGCGGGGGCGGGAGGGACTGCGTCGGGAATGGTGGGGTGAAGGTCTGCGGCACTACAAAGGAGCTCGTGGACGAAGAGGAGGAGGCGGGGGAGGAGGAGGCGGAGAAACTCGAGCTAGAGGTGGACATGGCGGGCGCTAGGTAGGTGGGGGAAGACGTGCGAAGGGCCCGCTTGTGTGTGTGCGTGACTGCGCTACGGTCGTCGGGAACAGAGAAGAGGCGTGGATGCTGAGGGCGGTGGGTCGAGGACGGGGGCGCGGGAGTGGTGCGGGCGAAAGGGAAGATGTGTACTGTAGTATTTCGACCGTTTATTCACGGCATGTCACCCGTCACCACGGAAGTTCACTGGGTTCGGTCTTCAGAACCCGACGGACCATGTCACCAACTTTCAAAAGTTCATTCGGCGCAATCAGCCCGCCAACACCCGTGCAGTGCTGCTTAGCTCCACAGAATGTCAATCTTCAGTCCTGACTCGGTCAGTGTCCCGATACTTAGTCCCATAACCTTGCTTCCATCCCGACTGGCTCCCTTTTGAGTCAGTCTGAGTTCCGTGGCGTTTGGTCGTAGCGCCGTAGCACTGAAACATCTAAAATAATGATATCGAAATTTTGGGTGGTTTCATGCCAGTTCCCGCCGTGGCGCCATGCCTGTTAGCACAGAAAATGTAAAAATCGGAAGGAGAGGCGGATTTTGTGGAGGTTGTTCTCGGCTGGGGCCAGTGCAAAAAAAAAAAAGTTCTCATACCGTTGTCAAGGCTCCGCTTGGGAGGAGCACTAGCACTTTTTTTTGTATTTTTTTGTTGGATTTTTCCTGTCAAATTTGTGTAGCTCAAAAATCATTTTCCTGCTTTTTGGCGGCCCCAGAAAATAAGTTGTTCACCCACCAGATGTCACCGTCACCGAGCCAAATTCATTCATTTCACAAGCCTCTGTCACCCGTCACGTGAATAAGTGGTCGAAATACTACAGTAAGCGGGCGTAGCTTCTTTTTTGTTTCTATTTTCTATTTTGGCTATTTTGGGATCCATTAACGGTCACGGTCAGACTTATCAGCCCAGTGGAGGGGTAGTCTCTTATAAATAGACGCTACAATACAACGGTCCTCGTACCTGCGGAAATTTCACCATGGGGGGTCCGGAAATCGACGCAGAACTGCTTCTTGTTCATCGAGGATGCGTAAAACGACTTCCTCTTGATAGGAATAGAGACCATTTAGCCATTGCGGTATGAGGTTTTTGACAATAGTGCGCAGGGTTTGGCGACCTTGGGCATCAGTCCAGCGATATTGAGGTGCTATAAACGTAGATTCCGGCCAGCCGGCGTCGGTAGAGGGAGAGGGAGCGCCAGCCGAGCGCGGCAGCGTCGCGGTACGTGCCAAGAGGCCGTGGGAATCAATTTCCCAAAGAGATGATTATCAGCAACCGGGGCGCGGTAAACTACAGACTAGTGGAGGGGTGCCAAATCAAGGCGGCATGGTGCAATGCCGCACAGACGTCCTCGTTCGAATCGAGGTGTTGCCATCGTTGGCACTTCTGGGAAACCAGTCCTGCCTCGGATCAAGATGCGAGACATATTCATGTTCAAAGTCTGAGTCAACGGCAGCCAAGGTCAATCTCACATCAAGCGGCCGGGTATTTAAGCCCTGACAACTGTCTAAGCTGGGCAGCATGGTCCAGCGGGAATATATATGCCCAGTAACGTCTGTTGCAATTGAGCACTCGATCCTCGTTCGAATCGCGGGCTGCCCTTTGCGGATGCAGTGACTTTTTGTCGAGCACTTCAGTTGCTTGCCTAAAGCACCCCCCGATCCTTGTACCGCTACGCCTTAAGCCCAATGCGTCCGCCTCACACAATAAAAGTAATGCCGCCCTGCTCGGAATTGAAACCTCGACCAGGTCGCGCAGGAACAGAAGTCACAAATTACATTTTGGCACCCAATGCAAACTCATCAGCGTCGCTCATGTTTTCACTCCCACTTGTGGTACTTTCAGCTGCGACGACAGCGCCAACGCAAGGGCAGCATAGTGTACCGCAACACGCTGGGTACGACTGAAAATTCCGTCAAATAGTGCAGCCCAGAGTTCCTCGTTCGAATCGAGGTGCTGCCAGACACCAGGAAACCATTTTTATTCTTTTTCAAATTCAAATTCATTTTGCGAGTCTTGTTCAAGTACTCCACTCGGACGGACTTTGCACTTCTCTGACTTTCGGGCAAGTATTTGCTTTTTGGGCTAAGTTAAAAGGCGGATTGGCTCGGCATTTCCCGGGCCAATGGCAAAAAATCCTCCATATTTTTGCGCGCCTTTTAACCCAGGTTAATATTTGGTTGATATTTTTCTCTACTGGGTGTACATGTGTGGCATGTTAGTAAAGACAGTTACGTTATTTCTTTGTCCGGCACGACGGCTATATGATTAGCCGTTACAACAGAGTCAAGTACTCAAAGACAGCATTAGAATGTCAACTACTCCTCAGTCAATTATTTATTCACACTACAAAGTCCTACAAGTTTCAATGTCCCCCGAGCCCGGGCCATCGAAACCTATCAGACCGCCGCGGCATTCAACCAAACTTGCCAACTCCGGTCATGAGTCCTCTGCAGATCTAGCACCACTGTTGACACTGTGTGGCGTGGGGGGAGGGGGACCCGTGTCGTTCGCAATGGCCCCAGCGAACACGCGGCGGCGGCGGCGGCGGCGGTAGAGCGAGCAAATGACGCACGCAGAGACGATGCCGATGAAGCTGAGGATGAAGTAGACTGGCGTCGGATTAAAAGTGACCAAGGAAGAAAAGGGAGGAGCATGAAATTCGAGGCAGCCGGCGATGAGCGACAGACAAAAATACAAAAAAAGATCGAGACAGATAAAGAGATGGCATCAGATGCGGTGCCAGCGCTGCGCACAAAGAGGATGGACGCACGGTACAGCTGCGCAGAGGACTGCAGGCCACCATGGCCCGCTTGGACGTTCCCCCCACCAAAGCTCGGCTGGGGCGGGAGAGGCTGCATCGAGAACAGTGGGGTACTCGGCGCGGGCGGCACGATCTGGGACTGTATCGGCAAAAAGGAGACAGTGGTAGAGGACAACTTGAATGGGGGGGAGGGGGAGGCGCTCGAGTGCAATGACAGCGAGCGAGAGGACTCGGAGGCCACTGGCATGGCGGCGTAGCTCAGACCGGGTGAAGACGTGCGAGAGGCGCGGCCGCGGGTGCGTGCGCGAGGGTGTGGCTGATGTCGCCACGGGTGTCAAGTCACAGAGAAGATGCGGGCCTGCAGTGGATTGGCAGAGGACGACGACCGTTGGGTCGAAGACTAGGGTGAGTCGTGACGCGGGAACACTGGCAGTGAGGGCTGCCAGTGGGCGGGTACGCTCTTCGTGAGAGCTTACCGGTTCTCGTGAGGTTGGGTCTTCTATTTTGATTCAAACAAGGTCCCATCAAAGCAGTAGCTGCGATCCGCGCATGTTCACGTCGAATGCACACGGATCCCGGTCACGTGGTACTGCCGCTCGGCAGACCCATCACCATGCCGACATCGCACGATCACTGCGCTCGTCGTCGCCGACAACGACGAAATTGAGTTTACAAAAATACACCAGCAATGTATTCTAAGCCCTCGCCACCACACGTCCCACTGCGTACGCCAGCTGTTCCGCTCACCCACCCTACCTCGGCCCAGACCCCGCCCCGAACATACCCTTTATGCGCCGCTGCTCATTTGTCACTCACATATGAACCATCCAGTGCGCGCCGCCACATGGTCTTTGCATGCGCGAGTGTGCAGGCAGCGCTGCCGCGGCCGGCGCATGCAAGTGCCACGCCACTTCCCGCACCAATTATTTGCGTGAAAGTGCGTGCAGGCCCGGCGGCGCGCGTGCGCGCGAGGCGCGACCGGCCAGTATTCGGTTGGCCATGCATCCCTACAACACGGTCAGGCGATGAGAGAGGGAGTCGACGATTGCGCACCATGAAGCAAGCCATGCCTCTCCCATCACTACTTACATGTACTTACAGCTCATAGTACGTTCAGCCTGCCTACGCAAGGCAGCATAGTGTAAGATCACACACTGGGTAGCAGTGGCTGCCAGTGATGGACGTAAAATGAACCCAGAGGTCCTCGTTCGAATCGAGGTGTTGCCTTACTCCGTTGTGGATAACCTTTTTGTTCTGCTTCAAACCTGAGTTCTTTCCCGGGAACCGATCGAGACTCGCTGGGACTCGACATGCCGGCGACGGTTCGCCCGCGTTCAAATCGACGACGCCTGTGAGCTGCCAGTGCTTACAGCTGATGCCATCAGTAATGACGTAGTCTCGTCCAATTCCGTTTCTAAATCGGGTTACTTATCTACCACATCTCATCAAATATTACTTTTTCTCACATCAGCCTCAACAGCAGAGCCTAAGCAAGGCAGCAATGCCGCACACCGAAAGTCATGTAACGCGAGGTACGAGCGCAGTTTTATGGACTGTATGTCTTAGACTCTTAGAGACTCGGAGACTATGGAACCCTGAGCTCCTCATTTGCATTGAGGTGTTGCCTTGGGGTCATGTCCCCGGTCCACAGTCGTTTCGATCTTTATGAGCATATCCTACATGCTGGTTTGGGCCCTGTCCAGTGATGCACCTAGGGGCCCTATTTTGAGGTGCCAGACCAGATAGGGCCTATTTAGCCCTATTGCCCTATATATAGGGCAAAAATAGGGCCCTATTTTCCCAAAAAGGAAATTACATATGTAGAGCGGGCAAATTATTTTCCAGAGTGCAGCTAGAGTTGTGTCAAGACACCAGCATCATCATTGAGAGTGTTCTAGTTCAGTTCCAAGCGGCAGTGCTGCATCAGTGCTTCAATTCGGTGGCGGCATCTCCCATCAACAGTCTGCCACTTCGGAGCTTCAATACTGGTGAATGGTGTGTTTTTTTTTTTGAGTCAATGTTTATTCCCCTTCGTGCCTAGGGCATATGGTAGGGATATAAGTGTCTAAGTAATACTGCTGCCCGTGGGTAATATAGATAAATTCAATGTGGTTATCGGCCATACTCGAAACTTTGCGACACCGTGCAAGACGGGCGCGAAGCGGAAAAATCCGCGGGAGTGCATAAGTGGCACTGAGGGTCATTAAGTCATGTGGCGGGTATAAGGAGAGAGTGAGACGGGGCATCAGGACATGTCTATCTGCTCTCGCTCGCGTCCTTCGGCAGCTCGACTTTCGTGAAGTCTCCGTATGCCGCGTGGAACCGTCCAGACTCTTGTATGAAAGTAAAAAGCGGAGGGAGAAGGTCAAGTGCACTGAGGAGGTTCTTTGTGTGTCGGGCGGGTCGGCCAGCAGCGTAAAGTCTCGACCGAGCGGCAGCGTGTGCAGGGCAGAAATGTAGGAAGTGGTCAACTGTTTCTTCAACCATTCCGCAACAGAGACAGAGGGGCGTGGGGGACTTCTTCAGGCGATGTAAGTGTTTCGCGAGGGGCGCGTGTTGGGAACGTAGCTGGAACAGGAGCGCGGCGTGCTTTCGAGGTAAGGGAGCAGAGAGCCGGAGGAATCGGTTGGATGGCATAGTAGGGTCAATGGCTTTGATCCGTGCATAACGCCTCGACGTGCTAAATTGCTTTGTCGCGCTCCTCCTCAGCAGCCGATAGTGGGTCAGGACTAGGGCGGATTTACCAAACGGCAACCTCGTGAGAGCCGCAAGCGGTTCCCCAAAGCTGCCCGTCTGCGCCGCGCGCTTGGCCGCCACATCGGCCGCTTCATTGCCTGGTATGTCGACGTGTCCCGGGGTCCAGACAACACGTAGCTTGAAGTTCGTGTGGATGTTGTGCGCCCTCTGGAGTCTGCGGTGGAAAATGTCCCATATATGGTGGCCTGGGCCCGGTTTGCCGCTCGTGGTCGTGTCAATCGCTGCTGTGTTGTCAACACCCAACGGAATCACTCCCCCAATTGCCTCATCCTTTTCTTCGCTCAGGCATTCCAATGCCAGTACTTCGCCGACCCCCTCGGCCTCATATACTCCGTACCTCTTCGATGAGCCAAGCCGCACACCCTTGGCGCGCTTCACCACTCCATCCACCATCAGTATCCCGGACGCCCCTACGAAGCCATCAATGAGCGAGCCGTCCGAGAACAGCTGCACTCGCGACGGCTCCGCCAACGCTGAGGCCACTGCCTCTTCCTTGTTCTCCGCAACCCGTATGCCAATCCCCGGCTTCCAAGCCGGCGAGCGGCGTACGGCAGGAATCGTCTCCACCAAGTTCTGCTTGACGTCTGCGTATGCATTCATAAGAAAGTGTAGCGGGTGCGGGTGCTTCTTCACGTGTCGGCGACCCGCATTCTCAACAGCCTTGTGCAGAGGGTGAGTGATCGGAAGGGTTGCGTATCGGACTGCTGCACGCTGCAGGAGCTTGTCAACTGCTAGGTGCATTGGGAGAAGGTCAGCGTGCGCGCCCGTTAGGTCACCCGGGGAGGAGGACATCCCTCCTACAATCAGACGAGCGGCCCGCAGCTGGACAGATGCCAATTTCACCATCACCGCGCGCCCATCACGTCGCCTATTCTCGCCTCGCGCTCGCTGGCGCACTGGCGCGAGAGCCACCTCCGCACCATAAAAGACGCGTGGCAGGCAGATCACGAGGTAGAGCCGCCTGATGTACTTCAGGGCAACTCCCTTCGATACCTGGGCAATGCGTCGGAAAGCCGCCACCCACTCGTTACCCTTTGCGACCATTGCCGCTCCCTGGACCTTGAAAGAGAGGTCCTCGTCCAGCCAAACCCCAACGAGCTTCACGGCCTTGCTGGGTTTGATCACCACTCCGTTGATAACCAGGTTGGGCCGCTTTTTCCGGTATGTTCTTGCTCTTTTGACCGAAAAATTGGTGTTGAAGGGACGTCCTCTTCGAGAAACAGATGAACTGGTCCTTCTCCGCGCCAAAGGCACTGTTGCTCGCTTCTGCAGTGTCGTTGATGCCATCTTTTTCTGTGACGGCTTTCACAAGGATTGCGACGGCGTCGACGAGCGTGGCGGCAACAGCTAGCCGGTTAAAATCGTCAATGTAGATGGCCGAGTCGAGGTGGAGGCGGGCGAGCGGAGAGTTGTAGAAAAGGTAAAACATCACCGAGCATGGGTCCCCTTGGTCTAACCCGTCGATGATGGGGAAGGGCTGCGAGGTGTATCCGTCAAAGACAAGCCTTGTTGTGCGACCGTCGAAGCGCCTCTGCATCCACTCGATGTACGCGCATGGTACCCCGGCCATGCGCATATTGTGCTTCACCCTCGCAAGCAGCGCGCTCGGGAATGCGCCTTTCACGTCGCGGAGAAGTAAGGCGGCCACTTCCCCTCGTCTCCAAGCATCTTTAACCTTCTTCACTATCAGCTGGATCATGTCGACGCCCGTGCGCCCTGGGCGCCCGCCAAAGTGGTTTTCGGGTAACATGTTGAAGTGCTCCGCATAGTAGGTCAACATCATACACTTCCCGCCATTGCGGAGACGCGCGTGACCATGTGAGAGAATGAGTGGCCGGTGCGCCCCCGCCTTGGAATAATCGGGCTTCCCAGGCTTGCGAGCAATGAAGGTCTCTGTGATCTTCCAATCTGGTGGTTCGCAGTCGTACACGTCGAGTGCGCGGTATATCCGTTGCAGGCGCGGGACTAGAAGGGTGGCACAGTGCTTGTATACGCCATTCGGGAGGGTACCTGAGCGCGTGGCCTTCCAAGGCTTCATCTTGGCGATGACCTTGTGGAGTGTCGCCTCCGTTAACGGTTTGTCAGTCCAGAGAGGTTCCGGGTAGGCAGTGTCCGGGTCGGGATCTGTCGCGTGCGGGGATCTTGTGGGGTAAAACTCTTTCACTAACCAGGCGCTCTTTTCTGCATTGGTGACCGCCACCTCCTCCCGTCCACCGGCTCCCTTCCTCTTCAGGTCCGGGATTCGTGCTCGCCCCCCATCTGATGGCGCGGCCTTCATGAACTCCCCCGCTGTCCACACATCACTCTCATCCACATCCTCGAGGAACTCAACCCACTTCACCTCACGCGCGTGCTTCACCGCCGCCTTGAAGTTGTTTCGCACGCGGCGATACTCCTCGTGTATCGGATGGAAGGGGAGGTCGCGCTTGCGAAAAGATTTTAGCGCGTGTGCATTCCGCTCCTTCATTTGCACCGTGAGCTCCTTCGTCCACCACCGTTTTGAGTGGGAGCACGGCTTGCAAAGGGGGACCAATTTCTCGACGCATCGGTTGATCGCTGAGTCCAACCTCGTGAGCCCTGCCAGCACCTCAGCCTCACTGGCATATCCTGCTACCATCGGGTCCGCCTCGAGCTCCGTCTCCAAAATTTTGTTGAACTCTTCCCAATCCGTCGCTCTCCAATTTCGCCGGTCCTCTGGCTCGACAGTCGGCGGGAGGAGGTCAATGACACTAATGATAGCAAAATGGTCAGTGGTGCCCGGTGCGAGGTGCGGGTGTGCATTGCACTGAATGGTGTGTATTGTGTCCTTGTCACGTTGGCGCAGAGGTTGCTCAGAAGTGCGCGACATGCATGGATGATGCAGAAGATGCGCAAAAGTCAGTGATGTGTCAAAATATATGACTGATCCCAAGATAAGATAAGGATATAGGCCCTACCTAGGGCCATATCGGCGGCGGGCCCTTGGATAGGGCCCTACAATAGGGCTTGTAGGGCCATATTTCAGTAGGGCCCTATTACCCATAGGTACATCACTGGCCCTGTCTATTGTAACTCGTATGCTCAGACCTGTTCAAAGTCGATTGTATCTGTACCGTGCCGTCAATCTCGCAGGCTGCCAGTGCGAACACATGCTCATGACAACAGAGCCTGAGCAAGGCAGCACGGTGTAATGCCGCACACTAGGCAAACCCCCTGGACTGTGTGACTGAACAAATTGCAAGTGGGTTCTTCCGCCGAGGTAGTGCACAGTACCTGACGTAGAATGGAGGAGACACCAGGCAGTATGGCGTGATTCCGCACACTTGGTGTAGTTCCAAGATTTGAACGGTCTTGCAACTGCCCAGAGCTCCGAGTGCTCGTTCGAAGCCAGGCCTTATGCGGACAAAAGGGCTATAAACTTTATTCAAATTCTGCTTCAAGCTCGAGTTCTTTTGTCGAACACTGTACCAAGACTGGATGCTCAGACACAG